TCACTTCTTCCCCTTGAATATTGTTCTGTCTGTTTCACCTCAGTATTAAGTTGCAAAACTGGTCTAGTCTGTTCCTCTGGTTCTCCCCTTAGCAAGCGTGTACCTCCCAGCCTTTGATGGATGTAACATGGTAAAGCTGTTATTTAATTCCGTCTGGGGCTCTCTGTTCAAAATAAACATACCCTACCAGATTGTACATAGTAAACCTAGACTTGAGAGTTGCTTCTCAGTAAAGATGTTTAGAGTTGGGCTGAATGTCAAACGGTAACTTTACACTTTATATGAAAATCCCCTTTCCAGATAAGCAGTGGATGCAAAGTGCAGAAGAAGAGAGGTACTAAACAGTGTATTGGAGGCAGGACATATGAGAAAAGAAGACCTACCTAAATCTAGTTTATGCCAGTTTTGTTCACTGCATCTCTCCATACGGTACTTTTTCATCCTTACAGACTATCCGTGTTTCTATCATGTACGTACAATGATTCATACATTAGCTTCTGTTCTTTACATTTCTCACCTTTCTCTGTGGGAGGATTTCATCAGCTTTATACAACCACAACATTCTTGGACTTCCCCTTTCCCTTGACACATTCACTTTTCCTTCTTAAATATGTTTTACGATTTAATCCTCATTTATTCTCTCTACAGGACCAAATCACTTCAATGTTCTTCTTTCACTTTGGTCATTTCACTTTTGTATTCAGTCTACATTCATTCAGTACTTCACTACCTTGATTTTTTTGCCATTTATGTATAACTTGCAATCATTCACTCCATTTCCACTGTCAGATAAAAATACTTTGGGCTTTGCTACACTGATCTGCAGATCCATCCTCCTTGTTGCATCATACAATCTATCTAATATTTGCTGCAAGTTATTCAGGTTCTCAGCCAACAACATACAAGTAGTCCTCTGTTAATGACCATTCGTTCAGTGACTGTTCAAAGCTACAATGGGAATGAGTGGTACTTACGACCGGTTCTTGAAGGTGCAGCCATTGCAGCGTCCTCACAACCATGTGATCGTGATTCAGGCACTTGTCAACTGGCTTGCACTTATGACAGTTGGAGTGTCCCACAGTCACATGATTGCCATTTGCGACCTTCCGTGCCAGCTTCCCACAGGCAGCTGCCCCCAGCCATGCTCGCGCTGCACCACACCAGCCCCTCTTGCACGCTTGTGTACCTTCCCCCACCCGGCAGCAGCCACTCACCTGCCTGCCAGCCTGCTTGTGAGCTGCCTGGGACTCACAACTTCCTGCCAGCTTCCCCAGTGACTTTTCTTGTTGGAAGGCAGCAGGAAGTTGCAAGAAGGTCCTTGCTTAACAACCCATGGTCCTTGCTTAACGACGGCAATGGGGAGTGCTGGGATTGCCATCGCTAAGCGATGCTGTCACACGATGTTGTGCTTTACAACCGCATCACTAAGCAATAGAAATTCTGTTCCCAATTTCCATCATTAACCGAGGAGTACCTGTAACATTATCTGCGCACAAAACAACACACGCATTCTCGAAGAATACATCTTTAATGTTGCCACAAGCATTCTTTATTTATTCACAAATAAATAACAAGGGAACATCACACATTCTTATTTTACTCCCTGTTCCATGTTGAACCATTTGCTAAGCATTTCAGTTATTCTCACACATGGTTTACTTGCATCGACTACCACATTTACCACATTCAGCAACCAACTTTCAGTTCCATATTTGTGCAAAATGTTTCATAATTCAAACCTTATCATATGCTTCTCTATTACCCGATAAAAAGAAAAAAATCTTCTCCATGTACCCCCAGCCCAACAAAAGATCTCATTGTACTTTCCAAACGTTGTTCATTGTCACCTATTTGCAGTCAGAATTCAGCCAAATACCTTTCCATGCACCCTTATCAAACTAATCCCCTTGTTTGCGTTTGCTCAGACACCAGTCACAAGCCACGCAGACGCTCCATTTCTCTAGTTACACCCTTCACACCTGCAGTCTCACCATTTTCCAGTAGCATGTATAACTTCCTTATCACGGATCATATACTGCATTTTGTCCATGAAAAATGCAATATACGATACATCATATTTATTTGTCATTTTTGCTATGATAGCTAACACAATTCCCTCTCTGAAATGATTAATCTTTGAATAATCATCTTGGACTGGCTGGTCAAGAAATGAACAGAAAATATCTAAAGCTAAATTAAATGGAAATACACACATCTTACCACAAAAATGCACAACATTTCCTTTGGCTCAAGGGCTGACTTGGCCTTTGCACAGAATTTGGGGAACCATACTCCCAAAATAGGAAGGCCCAAATGCTAAAGGGGGAACTGATCTGGGGATGCTGTGTTTCAAATGAAACATGTGTCTGAAGGGTTTGGATTTTATCCCTTGCAATCACCCCAAAAACAATGAAAAGAGGCACGGTTTTTGGCTTGGCACACTCCAAGAAACCCTACTCTAAGGTTCATTGACCATACTGGTAATCATGGGCATTGCAGAAGGGAAGAAAAGGAGAGAAAGGTGAAGAACTGCATCTCTTGTGTAGAACATTGTGGTACAAGTCCTGCCCAGTACAAAAGGCTGGAGCTTATGATGCCACAATGCAAATTTCATCACTTCAGCATCATTTTGGCTAATTGTAATCCAATCTGCTTGCAAAGCAATAGATCAATGTTTCTCAACCTCAGCAACTTTAAGATGGGTGGACTT